GGGCGGTGGTGGTTGCACAGCTAACTGTGGAGGGCGACAGATAGCCGTCGTTGAGCGGCGATGTGCCAGAAACCACAGAAGAAGAATGATTATTTACGACAGAACGAGTCGTGTGCGCGGTGTTCGGTGCGGCAGCCTTTCTGCGGAGAGACGCGGTGGTGACACATGGGCAAGTCGCGAGATTTAAGCGAGTTCGAGCGGGGTATGATCGTAGGAGCCCGGAGCGCCGGCTGCAGCATCTCGCAGACAGTGAACCTGCTGGGCTTCTCCAAGACTGCGGTGTCCCGGGTGTACAGGGAATGGTGCGAGCGGCAGAAAACCTCCAGCCACCGGGGGTCCTGCGGGAGAAAACGCCTCGTCGACGAGAGCGGCGAGCGGAGGATGGAGAGGATGGTGGAGGCGAACAACCAGGCAACCAGCGTGCAGATCCAGGCTCTGTACAACAGCAGCGGACCGGAGAAGCCCATCTCGCTCACCACCACCCGGCGGACCCTGAAGAGGCTCGGTTACAGCCGCACGACGCCGCGGCGGGACGCGCTGATCGTGGCCGGGCTGGAGGCTCTGGCGGTGTACGCGTCGTGCTCCCAGCAGCTGGACGCCTCGGAGGACTTTGTGAGCGACAACAAACATGATCCAGAAACTGAGTCCTCCACGGACCCGAACACATGGATGTAGTCAAGAACTGGATCGATCCAACATGGCGTCCTGTTATTGCCAAAGAAAGTTGTCCACTAAAGAGCATTTCTTTATGAACATTTTAAGATTTACTTATCCTAATATATATTTTCTTAGAATAAAAAAAAGTAAACAGGTGCCTACATATATAAGAAAATAACAGGTTTCTTTCCACTTATTCACATGTCGGACAAAAATGTGCAATATGTTTTTTTTGGAGTCACTCCATTTAAAACTCATCAAACTGGTAACTCATTGCCTTTAATGAAATTAAAATGAATCTGTGTCCTGATGTCAGACCATTTTCTCAGTCTGTTACTCAGTATCAACACATGTTTGATATAAGGGATGCAGACTTTACTGTGAATAGTTAAATGAGTAAATCTGACCTCCCAGTGGCATTAAGTTAAACCTGAAGCGAGGCTAGTGTTACCCCCCTTAGTGTCACGAGTTATTTTGCTTCTAAGGGCTTCATGATCATTAGGAAATGTCACGCTCTGACTAGAACTGAACGGTTCATCAATTTTAAAATTAAAATTGCAATTTGAAACCATGCAATTAGCAAATTGCAAAGTCTGCAATTTAGGCTGTATGAGTTGTAGCTAATAAATAATGAGATCCGTCACGCTTTGGGCTTGTGCTGCAGACAGAGGCGTGGGCAACATTTCACTGGATTCAATTATGCAGCAGCAACTTCTGGAAACAAACAGCGCAGTGTCTGTAAAACAAGCTGAAGATGAAAATGGGACGGCTTCCACAACAGGATAATGATCCTAGACACACCAGAAAATCCACAGTGGACAACCTCAAGAAGTGCAAACCAACACCTAAACATGAACAAAAGCAGGCCTCTAAGGAGGTCATGCTCGGCAGTTCATGAATGTCACAGAATTAGAAACCTTTTGCTGGAAAAATGAGTGAAAGTCCCACAAACAAGAGCCAATAGACTCCCGAGTTGCTACACGTATTTACAAACAGTGATCCTGACCATGAGGGTGCCCACGACACTTTAACATATGGCTTATTACTGGAAATAACTACTTCAGACTTCTAAAATAAAGCATTATTGCAGCTTTTATCAACAGCAAACCATCAGGGCAGTTAAATTCTCCAAGAAAATATTAGTGCGAAAACATCAACTGTGCCATAACTCAGAATAAATTCCACGGGAATGGAATGGCACCTATTATTTCTTAAATCTACTTTACACAGATGTTGCACATGTTGTCCAGCAGGTGGCGGCACGTAGCTTCAGATTGTTTCAGGTTCGCCAGTAAAAAGTGACGACGAAGAAGAAGAAGTGGCGGCGGCAGCAATAGAAGAAGAAGAAGAGGAAGAAAGTTCATGTGATTACAGTCATGTGATGGGGCACAACAAACAGTAAAACCTGAGTGTAACTGAGCTACCAGTGGAGCAGTTTTACCTTATCATGGCCGTGTTCGTTTCACAGTCTTTAAGACATAGTTAACTTTCTAACGGAGCTCGCTTGCAGCACCAGGTTGTGCCTCCCGGCGGACCGACCTGCCGTCAACATGCGACCTGTTCTGCTCCTCGTCGTCGCTTTTACCGCTCACGTCTCGGCTCGGTTCACTCCGGACTGGACCAGTTTGGACGCCCGGCCGCTGCCTTCGTGGTACGACGAGGCCAAGCTGGGCATCTTCATCCACTGGGGGGTGTTTTCTGTTCCCGGGTTCGGCAGTGAGTGGTTCTGGTGGCACTGGCAGGGTCAGCAGCCCCCGGACCAGAAGTGTGTCGACTACATGAGCCAGAACTACCCGCCTGGGTTCAGCTACCCGGAGTTCGCTCCTCAGCTTCATGCCCAGTTCTTCAACCCGGAGGAGTGGGCGGACATTTTTAAAGCTTCTGGTGCAAAGTGAGTAGCTCAATGTTGTGCAGGGGTGTCAAACATGCGGCCCGCGGGCCAAAACTGACCAGCCATTGGGTCTAATCGGGCCCGACCTTAACCCTTTATGGGGCAAGTGACCATATTTGGTAACTTCCTTGGATGTTCAATATGTCCACCCTGTGGAGGTTGAAGAACCATCTGCACTTTGATTTATTTATTTATGTATTTTTTTTAGTGCCATTATCACTACCTTAAGAAAAGTGTCACTGAACAAATGTTACAGGTGCTTTATAAACCCTTTGTTGCCGGTTTGCATTGAACTCTACTTTGATTTATTTTTTGAGATTAATGCCACTAACATCACAAACCCAAGAAAAATGTCACTAAATGAACTTGCCAAGCACTTTATAAATACTTTGTTACTGGTTGTGTAAGTATCATTACGTCAAGCTACAATGTTTCTAAATAAATGATTTTTGCAGTTTGTTACTTTTCTTTTATTTATTATAAATTCCCCCTCCCCTCCTTTTTTAACCATAGACAGGGGCAAGTTAGCATATATAGTAACTTTATTAATCTTGATTTGCAACATTTTTTTTTTGTAAGCCACAAAAGTAAAAATATCTTGAAATATCCTTCAATAACACCCTGCGGCTGAAATGTTCATTTTTGAAGTATTTCAAGGAGTGCCCTAAAAAAGGGTTGTTAGTTCCCATTTCAGTTTGCATGGTGAGGTGTGTCCGTTACTACACAGATGTGGACATGAATGTAAATTTAAAATAGTTTCTAATTTCTTTGACACGTTTTGATCATAAAGTAAAATATTGCATTGTTCATTACCAGATACGTGTGACTAATTGTTTTGTGCCTTTGCGGATACACTGTGATCTGTAAGTTGTAATGCACATGTGTAAATGATAAAGTGCGGCGTAATATTGTTGAAATTGCATGTATTGTCTTTATGAAATTTCAGGTTGTTCATAATGTTTTGTAAAAAGATTTTCAGAATGTACTTTTTATCACTAAAACAAAGGGAAAAATTTGGAGTTTTCATTATTTATAGGTTGTTATGCTATGGTTTTACTGGCTCGGCCCACTTGAGAACAAATCGGGCTGTATTTGGCCCCTGAACTAAAGTTAGTTTGACACCATCTGTTACTTAACAGTGCATCTGCTCTGGTTTGCAGAAAACTACACACCTTTTTCCAAGAATTCAAGGATTAAAGGCCTTTGTTGGTCACAAACACAGTTATACATGGTATAACGTGCAGTGAAATGCTTTGTGCACCTGTTCCACACCCAAACAATTTTAAAAAGATGAATAAGAATAAAGAATAAAACACACAAGAAATAAATATATACATTTATTTACAGATACGTCGTCCTGACTGCAAAACACCACGAAGGATTTACTAACTGGGGGTCTCCAAACTCCTGGAACTGGAACTCTGTTGATACTGGTCCTCACAGGGACCTAGTGGGAGATTTGGGAGAGGCTGTGCGCAACAGGTGGGTCCTCAAGTTGTGTAGTTATGAAGCTCATTTGTGTTACCACCCAACTAATGCTTACTTTTTATGTTTAGCTAATGTGCCTGTTATTTTATTTGATTACTTGATCGATTATTTTGCCTTTAAATGTAACAAAATAGGAAAAATCCATCCATACATGTGTATATTATAAAGGGCGCTGGCTTAGCTGGCAGTCCCGACAGTTCCTGTCTCCCCCAGTTTTGGACAGATGTAACTGTGAATGGAATTTCTCTGTAAGGGATTAATAAAGTACTATTGATTGATTGATTGATTAGCTCTACCTGCTTTATTTCAAAGAGGGTTGCGAGAGGCTGGAGCCTGTCTCAGCTGACATTGAGCATGTTCTACATTGGATAGGATGCCAGTAAATATGGGAAAAATTCCCATTGTAATATCGTAGAGCTCCTCAAATGTCTACATAATCCAATCAGAAGTTCACAACCCAAAGATATTTTGTTTACTGTCATATATGATGCTGACAAGGATCAAATTCCCACATTTGAGAAGCTACAACTAACAAATGTTTGACAAATTTTACTAAGTTCTAAAAATTACGAGGAAATAAAAACATTTAATTGACAAATTGATGCATAATTTAGATATTGGACAGCTCGCACTGTTAGGGAGGTTTCCCAAAGTTGCTACAAACAAATTTCCAAGCTCTGTAGCTGTTTCGATCAAATGTGTTCCCAGAATTGATATTATTCTGCAAGTACATTGGTTCTAGATTAGAAAATACACTGATCCAGTGTCAGAACTAATACAAACTAAAGTGGAATAAGCTCAGAGTTTGTGCTGTCAGTTATCGTCGTGTCGTCACTGCTACACTGTCCCTGTCATTATGTTACACCTCATCAAAATGATTCCAGCCACAACTATACATTGATATGTACAGATTTTTAGTTTGAGAAAACCAGAGTTAAATTAGAATTATTGTGAATATTTCAAATATTATTGCATTATTGTCCCTGTATTTTTTATTGTACAATGTCAAGATACCTGGATTTTCTTTGAAATGGTGTGTGTTTTGCTTTTCAGCCTCTCTGCAGTGAAGATATTGTCTCATGAGTCTTGATTGCTTCTATTGTCACATTTTAAAGGTTTGTTATTGTCTCATTTAGGTCATTGCACTATGGACTTTACAACTCCTTGTACGAGTGGTTCCACCCTCTCTATTTGAAAGACAAGAAGAATGGCTTCAAAACACAAGAGTTTGTGATGCATAAACTCCTTCCAGAGATTTATAACATGGTTGTCAGGTCTGTAGTGTTCAAATTACTGCTTCAGCCATTTGCACTTGCTACATGTTTTTTTATTTTTCTCTTGCACATAATATAATCAGACATAGTTACGTTGGCATGTGCCTCTATCAGGGCATGGCATATCAGTTAAATGTTTGACCCTTTGTCTTGCTGTTGCCGTGCAGGTACCGACCTGAGGTGATCTGGTCTGATGGAGACTGGGAAGCGCCTGACACCTACTGGAACTCCACGGAACTCCTGGCGTGGCTCTACAACGACAGCCCTGTTAAAGTAAGTGTTTTTTGTTTTTTTTTTAAAAGGAAATAGATGTTACTATGCAAGAATAGTGCAGATTACATTGTTTTAAGCAAGATATGAAACTGTGAGTTGTTTCAGCATAGCTACGCACACACTTACCAGATGTCCCCTGACTTAGGATACCGTTGTGACCAACGACCGATGGGGAGCGGGCTGCGCCTGTAAACACGGGGGCTACTATAACTGTGAAGACAAATATACCCCGGGCAAGCTGCCCAAGCACAAGTGGGAGAAATGCACGTCTGTGGACACTCTTTCCTGGGGTTACCGTCGAAACATGAAGATGAAGGAACTTATGGACTTGCCCACCATTATTAAGGTGAGGATACGGATGTAGATCTTATTTTTATAACTGACTAATAAATCTGAAAAGGTGGACCTATAAAACTGCCATAGAAGCCATTTTACCTAAATTAATATGTAATTATTGATGAGTTTTTTTCTTTATTTTCCTTTTATTCTGTTCTAATGTCACACTTTCTCTTACAGATCAGTCTTGGAAGTTTTTAATCAGCGTGTTTTTTGATTTTTTCACTCATGTTACTTCTGTTAAGTTACACTTTGATTGTGTCATCACTGTCCGGACAATACCGACCCAAACTTAAGTTGCGCTCATAATGAGTCAGCATTCTGGTACTCATCTGGTCTTGACTGTATGTAATGCCAGTAGTTTGATTGATGCCTTTCCCCAGTGACTGACTGCTTCCTCTTCTGTCTGCTATGGTCTTGTTACAGGATCTGGTCCAAACTGTGGCACTCGGGGGTAACTACCTTCTCAATGTGGGTCCCACACCTGATGGGATGATCCCCGCTGTGTTTGAGGAGAGGCTCAGGAGTGTTGGAGCCTGGCTGGAGATCAACGGGGAAGCCATCTATGCCTCCAAACCCTGGAGGGTGCAGACTGAAAACACCACCGCACCAATCTGGTAAGAAAAGTGGAGAGTGTTTTTAACAGCCCAGTTTACTGTCCAAATTGGAACGATAATTTGATGTGGGGACACTGAACAGTTTCAGTCAATGTCCACAGTGCTACGCTTTTGTTTGAAAATACTATTTTAAAATTAATAATCATAGTAATTGATCAGATCTATATAGCGCTTTTCTAGACAATCAAACACACTTTACACTGTCAGTTATTCATTCACACACATTCATTCCGGTGGTGGTAGCTATGATTGTAGCCACAGCTGCCCTGGGGCAGACTGACAGAGTCGCGGCTGCCATTCTCCCCTCTGACCACCACTTTAAACAATCCATTCATTCACACCAGGCAAGGTGGGTGAAGTGTCTTGTCTGAGGACACAATGACCATGACACAGGTTACAGAGCGGAACCGAACCGCAGACCTTCCGATTGTTGACCAACCCACTCTACCACCTGAGTCACCCCAAAATTAAAAATTTTAAAGGATATCCAACCTGATGAGTGTGTTACCCATACTAATACTCCTGAATATGCATATAGTGTGACACACAATCATAATAACATAGAGTGGGCATGTGCAAGTCAAACAAGAAGCAGAGGGTTGGCTGCTTACTTGTAAAATCCCAAACATTTCTTGTGTACTTATCTTGCTCGTGCACGTTCTAGAATGATGTAATTCCTAATTTAACGGCACAATCGCTGCTGTCACAGACAACAAAAGCAACAATGACTATAAGTCGTTATCAATCTTGAATTAACCACTGGTAGTCAGTTCTGATGTCTTTGTTTATTTCTGGAAAAGCATCACATGACAGGGGTGTTACAAACCAGAAAAGGACTGAACACCCTGTCAGGAGGCAAACGTGGGTATCTGGGTCCTTGTTTGTAGAATTCAGTACAATTCTGTTCATGGAGTGCCAATTCACAACTTAAGTAATTGTGGGGGATTTCATATAGAAAGGTCAAGACATGACAGTGTCATAGAGAGAACGCCAATGAAGGTAATGATTCCCTTTGAGCAAGCATTTAGAATCAGTAGGAGGAAGAAAAAACAACTCCCTTTTAACTGCAAGACGGCTGAACCAGGCTCAGGGAGGCGGCCATCTACCTCAGGTTCTGCCTATCCAGACTAAAATGCAATCCTGGAATTTTTTAAATAAAAATCTCAATTTTAGAGGTCGTAAAACGTTTAAGTGTTGTGCATGCTGGGCGCCAATGTTTTAAAACAAAAACCTATCGTTGTGGATATAACCTCAGGCTTCAGAGCAGAATTAAACTTACCATGATCAAGTTCATTGATTAAGTGATCTATAATGCAGTTATTGTTTCCATTGTTGTAGGTATACATCTAAAGGGACCACTGTCTATGCCTTCATAACAACCAAACCTCTGAAGCCCGCAGTCCAGCTGCTGGAACCCAGAACATCATCAAGCACTAAGGTAAAGGGACCGAGCCAGCGCTGTCTGTGTCGTCTTCACAGAGTGCAAAACTCATCTGTAGGGTCTCACTGAAAATACATTTAACCATAGTAAATACATGTTTGAGTTTAATAGAGAAGTTCACAACATGACCCTTTACAATCAGCCCAGTGGTATTCATTTACAGTCTCATGTGAACTGTAAATCAGATTCTTTCTCTCTTGTCCAGGTGACCTTGTTGGGGGATCCTAAGCCCTTACCCTGGTCTCCAGTCCACCCCAATGCTGGCCTCACTGTCCTTCTGCCTGAGCTGCCTTATACTCCCGCTCAGGTGTGGACACTCAAACTGGAAGATGTCCAGTGAGCATTAAACACCTGAAGTGTCGAACCTCTGCCCGATTAAATATTTAGAATTAAGTAAACTCAGGTTTTTATTAGGAGAATGAAAAAAAACAAACTTGTGCACTATGACTGAAGGGACCACGCTTGTGTAACGGCTAAGTACTTTTGCCAAATTGAAAGAATGAAGCACTCCAAATCCTGTGTTGCTCGCTCTGAGGACTAAAATTTGAATGCGTCACTGCTTCTTAATTGTATGTTTTTTTTTTACGATGGCATTATTATGAATGAAAAGTGGAGTTTTCTGCTCAGCTTTTGCAGCTCTTCTGTCAGTTTCTCAATTGTCAAATTGCTTTTTGTTTGTACAGTTCATTATTCCACTGGTTTGGATTGAAAATGAACTCATTTTTTGACTTTTTTGTTTTTTACATTGATTTTGCATTGTCTGATTTTTAGCTTTTAGGGTTTGTAAAGAATTAAAATCACGTAAAGCAAGGTCAAGCAGTGAAGTTCTTTTAGCTTTTGTTATCGGAATGCACTGATGGCACTTTTTGTCAAGGACAAGCGCTTGTAAGTCCTGAATAAGATTACAGTTTTAGCAGTGAGGTGTTATATCTTCAAACACAGCTTCTATAGCTTGTCTAGTGTGCAGATCCTTAGACTGCTTTGCATGTACGACACTGGAGGAAAATCCTCAACTGAGCAACCTAATGAGAGACGCTGACACCGCTGTGGAGGTGCTTTTTCAACAAAGTCGTGCAGTTCTGGGGGTACGGTTTCTGTGACTTGATGGCTGGGAATCTCACACGTGGGCTCCAGTCAACTGAGAATAATGAATCCTATATTGTGTAGAATTCCCAACGATTCAAGAACAATGAGCTGATTCACACCTTCTTATTTTTACAGATCGCTCATCCTAAAGTATTTCCAAACAGCTAACATTGCTGCTTCTTGACCTGCTCAGCTAATGAGAAATGCAAACAAGCAGCATCTTATCATGACCAACACTGTTACTCATGCATCTCTAGTTTAGTAGATGGCACTTTAAGCGACCCTCACCACCTTAAAGACTTGTTTCTTTCTGCCGCGTTGTCCTGAGCTTCTTAGAAAAATAATGCTATAAACCTCTATAGTTTCAGCTGGCATGTACACGCTTTTAGAGTGCTTTTTACACACAAGTATGAGTGCATAATGCTCTAATGGGAGCAGGATGACATGGCCACCACTGAATGACTGTTTCGATTCTCTGTGCAGCACTTGTTAGTACTTCTATTTCCCCTGAAGTGCCTCAGGAGTTCATTCCTCATTCATATCCCCCCACTTTCATATTTGACTAACTGCTGACCTTTGACCGTAACCTGCTTCTCTTACCTTGAGGTTACTGCTGCACGTTCTTAAATCTCAGCTTGTATTAAATTGCTGTTGTGGGATCGGACAAAAATATCTCATCAGTGTCATGATCAGTTTAGAGCCGTCTGGGTGGAGAATACCCACGGGGATTGAGCATTTGATTCAGAATGCCAGCACTAAATTGTTTTCCGTCCCCTCTTTTACCCTTTCCTAATATGTGTATGTGGCCTGCTTGGTATTTGCATTGTAAATTTTCCACAGGCTGAGAGGGGCACAAAGAAAATGGAAATTTTGTTTGGGAAAAATCCTCCTCTTTGACCTCTACTTTGCATTTTTTGCTGCGTGCCGTCGAGGTTAATACAGCTGCACTGCAAAAAAATATCCATCTGAAGAGTGACTCATTCTTGAGTTCAGTCTAAATGATCTTAGTGGCCTTCTCGCCCAAAGTTAAATGAGAAGACTAATATCACCAGTGAGTCTGTCCTTAAACATCCTGTTCAACATCCAGCAGATAGGTACTGGCAGGATCAACCAGGGAGCCCGCAGAGCTACCTGTTTCTTACATTTTAGCACCTTGTTTTCTCAGCACAACACCTTTAAATATGTAGCAATGAGGACATCTTTAGTCATTTTTATTTGCTCAAAGAAACGGTCTTGAAACCCTCTTTGGTAACAGCATTTTTTCCCCCCCAAAAAATATAGTTTTTCGAAATTAATTTTGAGGTTTTTGTAAATTGTTTCTGTACAATTCATTTTCTCTGTAATCAGAGCTCTTCAAACAGAGAAGTTTGACATGATTGCCTGGGTCAGCCATGTTTGAAAGAGTGGACAGTTTTAGAGTTGAGAAAAAAAGTGAATTTATTGCAAAAAAATTAGAGCTACTCAAAATAGTTATTGTGTTTTGTGCAATGAATGAATTAATATGTCTTAATGTTATAGTAAAAGCCCTAATAGGCAAGTCTTGCCACTTGGCTTCCATCTTGCTAATGCCCCCTGGTACTTTTTCCAATGTTAACCAGCTCTTCTCTAATGAAGCGGAGGAAAACCATTGACTGTATAAAAGATGGACGTAGCAACCGGCCCTGAAAAATGAAGCCAACCCGGAAGTGTCAAAAACCTGCGTCCGCCAGCTGCTGGCTCCAAAAAGCCCTGGCTCCCATAGACTTGAATTGGAAAAGAAGTGATCACAGATCACAAAATACTGCATTCCTACAGCTCAGGATTTTTTTCTTATTCGTTTTCATCGTCAAGTCCAGAGATCAGGTGGCCAATCTGAAAATAAATCAATCCTGAATTTTTAAAAAATCATCACTATTTTGCAGAGCAAGGGGCGTGGCTGGCTTGATTGACAGTCGGCAGCGACGATGCAGATGAAGCGAGCAGAAGGTGGTAAATGTGGGCGGGCAGAGAGGGCCCGCCTCTTAATCCGTCTGACCAATCGCTGCTCCTATGGCTCCGCCCCCCTCCGACGATTTTTGCGTCACTGGCTCCAAAAATCCAAGATGTCAGCCAGGAAGTAGCAAAACCCTGGCTTTATTTTCTCAGTGCAGAAACCAACGGGTGACGTCACGGTAGCTACGTCCATCTTTTATACAGTCTATGAGGAAAACCATAACTGCACTGTGAGTTGTCATTTGGAAATAAAAGCTGCATATAAACAATCACCAGTCACAAAAAAAAGGGGGTACACTTCTAACACACATGCATCGATGTAGCAACGTTAGCTGGATGTTGTTTCAATCAGCTGTGGGAAAGCGGATGATTGGCTTCTTAAAGGGAGGGGACGGACAGACATGTCACACAACCACCGTCTTTGTTAGGACGGAATTCTCCTATAAATCGCTATCCAGGCTTTTTTTAAAGGTCCCATATGTTGAATTTTTTTTTATTTTGTGGTTGTTCTGACCCTGGAGGTGTAAAATAAAAGCTGTTAGGACATAAAAAACATTACTTCAGTCATTAGTCAAGCCCTCCCATAACTTTAATCATGATTGATAGCTCCAGGCTGTCAAACCACTTTAAAACAGCCCTTAAACCAGAAGCACATGGTGAAATGAATCGTCTTTGCCATATTTTGAGCCATGTCTTCTCCCCTACTTTCTCTCTCACTACACTATCCAATAAAGCCCAAAAAATGACTTTAAAAAACCCCAAAAAAAGTGAAGACAGTGGAGATGGGAGACTTTCATAGATTTGCTGAAAAGAGGCACAATATGGGCCCTTTAAATGGTGAGTCTGTCCTTTATCATGACTATGTTTAAATACAGGTTTCTTTACCAACCTGGTCCGTCCAGGTCTTTACTGTTTGCCTGGAAGCTGCTCAGAGCTAGAACAGGTTCGTTAAGGCCTGTCAAACAGCACACTGTCATTTTTACATTTCAGTTTTTGTGCAGATGTGTCGTATTCATTCTGGAGTCTCGAGCAAATTAATTATTTTAAGTTTGAGTCAGTTCTGGTGTTTATCCTTTCTTTTTTGAGGCTGTTGGAAAGAAGCAATATCGTGTATTTCTGTGAAACAAAACTGACAACCGTGGGCTTGTTACTGTCAATCAAATCTGATCGGAACAACATGCGGTTTTTAAATGTGCTTTAATTGTGATCGTTGCTTATTTAGTCATGAGTATTTAATGTAATGGGGGACGGGGGGGAAGCTGAGTGAGTTCATTAACTGACTTCAGGATTCTCAGTGCTCAAAACGTTCAGCCGAGTCAAAGAATCAACACACAAGAAAGACAAAGGAGACGCAGCACCCCCTCATTTAACTCGCTAAAATAGCTTTATAATAATCATATTAATAGTAATAATATTAGCAATTAGAAAATGTTTTGACAACGTTGACAGTGTTACATTCTGTGTTGGGGTAAACCACGTCACAGTGTGCCATCTCTCTGGGCTTCAGCGCTATCAGACGTGCTCCTTTTGACACATCTAGATCCATGAAAGGTACGAGATCAATAAATAAATTTGTATGTACAAAATGAGAACCACAACACAACAAACAGAATCATGATTTTACACTGTGCATCGTCCTCCTTACCCCCCGCCGCCTGGCCCACAGTGGGACCGCGGCCTCTCCCCCGTCACCAGTGTGTCCTCATGCATCGCGTGTATCCAGGAGTGGCATCATGAAAGTTCATATCTTATGGCATCTCTATTGCTATATGGTCCAGTCAATTCTTTTTAGAAGAGAACAAATAAAACAAAAAGCATCTCATGTTTGTATGTACAATATGCTGTCTTGGCACTGAATCGAATGTGTATAAAACAAGTGAACTCAAGAATAAAGCTGAGCTTAAAGACAGAAAAGCTTGCTGTATCAAACCCGTGTGATTAAAAATCATGGTGTTTGGTGAGAAATACGAGGGATGAAAGAGGAGGAGGAGGAGGAGGAGGAGAGGTGGAGAGAGTACAGAAGTAGGAACTATTTCATTTTTGCTACATTATAGAGTAGAATACCAAGAGTGGAGTGTCTGTATCAGTCTGATGTCCGTGTTGATTTCCTCCTCTGGCAGCACGGAGAGTTCAGAGTGGAATAAAAGCACATGGAGAAAGAAGAAGGTCGAAAGTTTGGATCTTCCGTTCACTGCATCTGTTCAATGCTTCCTCTTTTGGTGATCTCTCACTCCTCTCTGGAGTGTCCATCATCGATCCCAGAGAAAAAATGTCTTCCCAGAGTTATTGTCAGTTTGCTTTTTCCTCTCCTCCGTCTCCTCAGTAGCAGCGATTTATTTCCATTATAGATGAAACTGTTATTTCTGTTATTGTACACAAGACTCGCCCTTGAATACGGAACAATGTTTACCCATAAGCTATAGTCGACAACACCATTTATAATAATGAAAGTGATGGCAATAATCAATCCTTTCAATGACGATAATCATACTAAGAATAATCATATTGTAATAACAATATATGTAATATTGAGAAGAGCAATGTCCATTGGTAACAGGTATTTACATTTTGTAAACGTGACTGTGGCAGGGTGTCCTTCTTCTTTTTTTCGATGTTTGTTTTTTTTTGTTAAATTAATTACACAGTAATTGCTCAGTTGTCTCTGATCCACATGGTTAGCTGTGTGTGTACTGTAAAGCAACATTACAGTGTTAATACACACGCATACACGTACAAACAGAAGCACACCTCAGTGCTAAAGGCACATTGGAGTTTCAGTTAAACATCTGCTTCAGCGTGAGCTGCTCTGGAGGCGGAAGGGAATGAAACCTCAGCGGAGAATCATCACATACGTTTCAAGAAAGTTTAGCCAAAGTAGAACATGAAGTATTAAAAGATATGATCCGTATGATTTTCAGTAGATCACACTGATGCCTGATGAGGTCAAAGGTTTTTTAGCTATTTTAAGTACCTCTCTGCCACTGTACTTTCATCTCATTGATATCAGCTCTTTTAGACATGTTTTCATCGTTAATGCAAATATTTAATGAACTTCCAGAAAATCAGCGAGAATAAAAATGCAAATTAATGTTGCATAATCATCCACAGTGGGTAGCAGTAATTGTCTAGCGAGGTGCTATTAAAACACTGCAAGAGGGGGCAGTGGGGTGGTGTAATTAAATGAGCCAAGTCAGCTTTCAAATTGTGGAAAACAGTGAAAGAAAGGGCATCTATATTTCTTTGATGTATTAATTTGAGTAACGTCTCTTCATCGCTCCACGTAGATCTACTCTCACTCTGTAACCGGTTACTGCCAGAAAAACAACTGCAAGCAAAGTCACCGTTTTGGACAGTGAATAAGTTTTAAATATTGCTGGGAATAATGAAACAAGAGCAGCAAAGCCTCAGAACTCTCTTTACTTAGCTTGAAAAACTGAGCTTCTCCTACTGAGGTTTAACTCCATACTTAACTTTATCCCCCCAGAGCAGCTCTGCCTCACAGAAATGTCAAATTAAAACTCAAATCTGCTGCTACTTCATCCCTTCCAGCTCCAGTTTGTTGCAGACGCACAATATACAGCACACACACACGCGCGCGCACAAATCGGCTACAATTGAGCTGCTGCCTTGAGCCACCGCTTCCTCCTGCGCTGCTCTCCAATCTCGGAAAAAATGGCTAAAAAGAGAATTTGGGCTTAAAACGACTTTTTTTTTTCTCCCCCCCCCCCTTTCGTTCGGGATTCCTGCAGGACTGGACCCCGTGGTTTCAGGGTCTGGTGATTGTGTGGCGTTGAAGAGAATCCCCTGAGGACAGAGGCGTGGGTCAGGGGTTGGAGACACTGCTGCTAGAAACTGAGGTACTCAGAGTTGACTTGTCCGTCTGGCTGTCCGTGTGGGGTTTTTGCACTTATACAAAGAGGTGAAAGGGTTCAACGTAGTAGTCTGTTGCGTTGGTTGAGTGCTCAGATCATGTTAGTACATCTACACACCCGAGTGCTGGGGACCCCTGTGTTTATACTGTGCAGATATAGGACAAAGGATTGGTACAATACTGAACAAAGAAAATTAAAAAAAAACAAAACAAAAACATGGAAATCACAACCACCAGAAGTGTGTTTGCAATGGACCTGTTTCAAGGCAAGGTGGCTGGCTAACACCTCAACTTGTGATAAAAAGTATAGAGGAGAAAGTCAGCGAGAACTGAAGAAGTAGTAGTTGCTACTGTGGATAAATATCCAACAAAGCTTCTTTGATTCCTGGTGTCCCTCAAGGCCAACTCGTAATGGAAAGACCTTGCCATCCCTCCGCATGTAGGTTTGAGGATCGTGAGGGTGGAGTCAAGAGTCCTTCACAGTGGAGTAACAGTATTAAAGCAGGTCTTTGTGCTTTGTTTGATGAGGACTGTGTCAAACACCACTGAAGATGGTGCAAGTTTGGAGGAGAAAGGATGACGGGATAAAAGGCTGCTCTGCAACCCACACTGCTGCAAATGAATTAAACATGATGCCTGCCCCCCCGCCCTTTTTTTTTTTTACATCTCCAGGGCAGCTTGTTTTACATGGAGGTTATTAAATTGATCTGTTGAGATTCAAATCAAATTGATTGCTGTTTTCCGAGGATGCCAGTATCATTGTCCCTCCAAGGATGTAATCTTTGTACAAAGACGTGACTCAGTGTAATAACTGCAGTGTAAAATCCTATTAATTTTTTTTTTTTTTTCCGACCACAAAAAAAGGTTTATAGGCTACAAAATTTGCTTTCCTTTTATCGGTCAAAAACGAGATTCTGCTAAATTTTTCAAAGGAGGTTGTCATAAAACATGCAGTATTAACATCAACAAAATTCGCCAGTCTTATGTGTGTATTGCAAGTGAAGGTGAGGGAGATAAAGGATGGCATGTGAGTACAATAAAAACATTTTCTTTAACAATATTCTCTGCAGATTTCATACTTTTCTATTTACATATCTTATATATCTTTATATGTATATATATATGTATACACATACATATATGTATGTGTATACATGTAGTATACATATACGTATACATATATATATACAGTGTAAACTGTGTTCAAAGGAAACCTCCACATATAGCTGGTTAGGCACATGTAGTTGGTTCTAAAGAGGAAATACAGGGAGGGGATACAGCAGTATATGTTGTTAGAACCACAGACAGATATATAGTAGGCCTAAGGAGGATCATACTTGGCAATTAACACTTGCCAGTTATACCCTGTGAACCTGACTCACAAACTGAAGATAATAACAATTGTTTCAAATTCTTTTTCACGTGTACTGAGTCTGGATATGCCACACAGCTGTAGAATCACACAATGCTATAATCTATCATAATAATACTGTAGTATTTCACATTTGATATATGCTTTCTTTGTACATATACTGTACTCAATAATCTCTACTAATCTAGAAATGTAGATTATATTATAAAATATACATCTCCCATTAAAATATCCCATTTTGCCAACACATTCCATCCAAGTGTTACAAAAGAAAGAAAGAAAGGGGGAAAAAAAAACAGGTCATGCTAAAAGATTCTTATATTTTCTCTAAAATGGCAGATTTGGACTTTTTAGTATTCACTGGGCTCGTGTCCCTTATGACACACAGCCCTTCATCTCCTTAATTCCAGCGCATTCACACACAAACATTAACACAGCATCCATACTAAATACTAGAAATAGCTGTTCTGCCATAAATTTGTAAATGAGATCCCTTCAAAAAACTTTGAAAATCATGCTACACTTTGTCAAGTGGAAACACCAGATAGTTTGATTTCAGGGTGAAATAAAGGGAAAGGGAAACACAGTGCAACAAATGTACACTATTCCATTCATATCAAGCGTTACCTAACCTCAGCCTCGTCAAGCTGCTTCTTTTCTATTATTTCACAACTGAAGTGTTCCTCTCTTTGATAACTCTTTGGAAAGGGTTTTGGAGGGAGCTGCTGTTCACCGATTGACTCATTTTGTTTGCTTTTGATCAAAGAAATCTTTCCTTCTGTCATCGGCGCTGTGGGAAATTGCGAGGACTGCACTTGAAATTAGGCAGCGCTCCCTCGTTTACTTTATTATCCGCCGCCCTCTTAATTAGGCATAAAAAACATCATGGGAAAGTCCACTCAAATAATATTCAAGGGAAGAGAAAACGCACTGCAAGTTGAGGGGAAAGAACTGAAATAAAGTAATAAAGAAACTGATCTTCTTTCATGGCTGTTTCATCAGGGTGTAATTCCTGACTGAGGTGGAGAGAACTCTCTACAGACCACTGTTGTTAGTTTCCTCATTTGACCACTTGGTGGCGCTATAGTCTCACAGTGAAAAGGCGGCTTCCTCAGTAAAGTCCTGAAAAGCCCCCAAAAATATATTCCCCTAAAAACTCCCAGAAACCCCACCCCTGAACACTTGAAACTTCAGAAAGACTACATAAGAAGCAAACGGCTCGTTTTTTTTTTTTCTGTTTTTCTTTTTTTTCTCATCTGTGATGCTCTCTAGCTGTCAAGGCTGTGATGCTACACTGCAAAAGCTCCTTTTGGCAAACATGAGTGTGCACTCTATGTACAAATAGCACTTGCACATTCAAACAGCCTCACTGCTGAATGCTGAGGGTCGTCTGCGGACACACGGAGCGTGAGGAATGAAAGAGATAAAAATAGTTTCGTATTTCTCCGACCAAGACCCCCGTGTGGACAGCTGGCACCTGGGTGAAAGGTGCCAGCTGTAGTTGGCTGACTATGCTTGGGGGTATGTTCTTTGGGGTGTGCCAACTATCTGACTTTAAGGGCATTTGAACTGATGCTGAAAAATTCATCCATGTTTATTCATCCATACAGGTAGCATCGGTGAAGGGGATGGATACGTCGTGATTCAGAAACCCCACAAGTATAACGTGTAGCTGATTTTGCTGCAAACCCCATCAGGGATCCACACTGGGAGATTCTGTCAGAGGTCTTGTGCCTGTTAAGCCCTTTATTTTCAGTGATGGAGATGTGCTAGGTGAACACGCACAGGCATGCTACTACTGCGTGAACCTCTGCTGACTACTGTTATAAAAGTGGACTGGTTCTTGTTTGTTGTCAGCCAAAAATGATAATAAAAAAAGAACTCCAGAGACCTAAAAACGTCAGTAACTGCTAGCTACCGTTTCAGGTCGAGGCCTCTGTGTCAGTAAAATGTCCAAATTTCAAGACACTAACATGGCTGTCATTGCTTGTTTAATGAGTATGATAACTGAATTTGATGGAATGGCTGAGGGGGAGTAGCGCATAAACAGCAATGACTCGCAGAAGATCCAAAACTGGGCTCAGAGAAGGACTGACATTGGTGCACAGGCCAGCTTCGCGAGGGTAAGGGTGATTGAGGAGGTGGGAGGGAGACACCTCAGCCTGGTGTTCAGAGTCGAGTCTGGGCTTCAGGGATGTAGATCTCGATGCTGTCAGCGCTCTCCGTGGCAGAGTTCTGCCTGAAGGAGGCAGTACGCTTGGTCTGCAGCAGCCTCCTCCTCGCTTCTGTCCTCTGACGGTCCCCGAGGTCCAGGGACTTCTCCCTGATGGGTAGGGTGTGCCCTCCCACGCGAGGCACCACCAGGCCCCCTGGCCCACCTCCTCCACCTCCGGCACCCCCATCGCTAACGCTATCGGCCCGGAGGCTGCCACTCACCCCGCCCGCTGGCTTCTTTGGTAAGGGAGGAGGAAGCTTCTTGTCCTCCTGGGTCGGCGGTGGTGAGACGTAGATACAAAATGAAACCGGACAGTGGATTTTATCGTGTTGGGTGGTGGGAAAAAAAGTTGTTTTGTATGGTTGCGTAAAAGGAATCCCATGCAGATAAAATGGGAGATACAAAGAGAATGAGAAACCAAAGGGCAAAACCACCAACAGAAGGGGTACAATTCAAGTGTGGGCCAATAGTATTTCAAGCATGCATTGGCATTGGGTGATGAAAGGGAAATGAAATGGGAAAGGAAAAGTAAACAAAAGGTAATGTACAAAGAAAAAGAAGAAAAGAGAAACAATTGTTAGTTGGTTATTGAGAATAATGTAGTTGATCAGTGAGTAGCCTAACCTTTAGAGAAATCAACGTAACAGACAATCGTGTCCCTGAACATTTCTAGCACTAGACTCCACAGTCTTCAGGGCAGCTCAGTTCCTCTCGCTGTTCTGTATTTTCACAGCCTGCAGAGGCTTGTAGGGCACAACCATCTGCGCTACACGCCTGCACACTGCCATCTTAGCTCTGGGACAGTGGTGAAGGGAAACCGGGGTTGCTTGGACCCCCGGGTCTCTCACCTTCTTTTCAGGTGGGAGCCTCCAACCAGAGTCCTTGAGCCTCTGAAGGTCCTGAAACTTGACCCTGACGTCCTCTATGTTGAGCTGGAGCAGGTCCCAGAAGGCTGCCAGGTCCTGAGACGTAGGCTGGGGGTAGGCTGATGGGTCCTGGGTGGGCAGGAAGACATTACATAAACATGTGATGGGTGATGAAGGATTTGTAAAAGAGACATACATTACAATAGGACCAGCATCTCCCACTGGAGTGTGTGCAGTCAAACAAAATGTGCCTTTAACGACAGCAGATCTCTGCAAAACCATGCACCATATGTAATGTGTGTTGTCATGATCTTTCATGTAGTCAGACATACTCACCACACTTTGTTGGCAGAGGCGGAAGAACTGCTGGACTTTCTGAGACATGAGCATCTGGGCGCTGCCAACTGCATTTCGAATCAGCTCAAGAACTGGAGAGGGAAACCGCACATAAGCAGTTTGAGAAATCCAAGAATTATTCATTGTTAATCTTTATCTCTGCACCTCCTCTCAAAACTCACCGTCCTCTGGAAGTTCGTTCTCCTCTGCCTCCCTCTCCATGTTCTGGCACCAGCCCTCCATCCTCTCCACTTCTGTCTGCAGGAGGCGTAAGAAGAACTCTCCATCTCTCATGCAGGGTGAAGCTCGGCCAGAGTCGGGAAGGCTCCTGGGGCCCTCTAAGGACGGCGTCCCCGCCCAAGCTCGCTCAGAGGTAATGGGCAGAGGGGAGTGGGAACGTGGAGGCAAGAGTGGGTGCTGGTGGGGCCGCGGGTCTGCTTGGCAGGCCTCAGTGGTGTAGCCGCTCTGGATAAAGTCCTGGGATAACATAAGAGAAAACTGTTTGGACACATGGTGTTTGGCCCGTCTAGAGTGAGTGCTCATCTTGCAAAGACATTTTCACTGCAAACCTTCTGTTCACTAAAACAACCACTCTCTATCACAGTGAATGCACTAAGTTGTCTTATTCTCTGTACTGAAATGAGGTGGACCTTCCCACCACTGCTTGTCTTTCAAACTGAAAACAGTTGTTATGGGGGGTAATATTAAAGCAAAATAGGGACAAGTCATATAGAATACTGTGTAGTGTAATAGTGGTGGCATCAAGAGATGAATTCCACTGCTGAACTATAAAACAAGAACTACATCTTCACCATCTAAGGTGGAGGCACATGTTCAACTTTAACAGTATCCTATGGAGCTTTTCACCATAGGTAGTGCTATAGAGCAGGGTTATTAAGCAGGTCTTTGACTTGTTTCAATTTCCTTTTTAATGAGGACAAGCCTGAGCACATCACCAAACCTGCAGAAGGTTTCATGACATACCACTGCTTTACGGTGGGCGACTGTAACGTAGCATGAACTGTGCTGGTGAAGGCAGGAAAGCAGAGGACTGTAAGCTAACAAACATACGAGATACCTGATGGTCCACCAGCACCAGCAAGTTGAGGAATGATAGCCAAGCTAGCGCTACCACCACTGAGCTATCATATCTATCATACAGTTGAAACCAGAAGTTTAAATACACTGTCTAGCAATATTTTCTGATGTTAAATCTGACTAAACTTTTTCTGTTTTAGGTCAGTTAGGGTTACTAAAATTATTTCTATTTGCTAAATGCCAGAATAATGAGAGAGAATTTTATTTGTAGAGATTTTATTATTACTTTCTTCAAAGTCAGAAGTTTACATACTGCTTCTCACAATAGTTTGATGAATTCTGGCCCATTCCTCCTGACAGAACTGATGGAACTGAGTCAGGTTTGTTGTCTGCCTTGCTCTACACACCTTCATAGCTCTGCCCACAAATTTTCTACAGTATTGAGATCAGGACATTGTGATGGCCACTCCAAAACATTGATTTCGTTGTCCTTAAGCCACTTTGTAACTATTTTAGCGGTATGCTTAGAATCATTGTCCATTTGGAAGACCCATTCACGCCAAAGCTTTAACTTCCTGGCTGATGTCTTGAGATGTTGCTTCAATATTTCCACATAATGTTCTTTCCTCATCGTGCCATCTATTTTGTGAAGTGCACCAGTCCCTCCTGCAGCAAAACACCCCCACAACATGATGCTGCCACCCCCGTACTTGTGACAGCTGGGATAGTGTTCTCAGGCTTGCAAGCGTCCCCCTTTGTCCTCCAAATGTAAAGATGGTCATTATGGCCAAACAGTTCTATTTTAGTTTCATCAGACCACAGGACATGTCTCCAGAAATGAAGGTCTTTGTCACTGATGTGCATTTGCAAACTATAATCTGTCTTTTTTATGTTCTTTTTGGAGTAATGTCTTCTTCCTCTCTGTATATTCTTTCAGCCCATGTCGGTACAGGACTTGTTTAACTGTGCATAATGACACTTTCTTAACAGCTTCAGCAGCATCTTCAAAAAGTCTTTTGCTTTTGTTCTGGGGTTGACACGCATATTTTGCACCAAAACATGTTCAACTCTGGGACACAGAACCTGTCTCCTTCCTGAGCGGTATGATGACTGGACATTCTCATGGTGTTTATACTTGTGTATAATTGTTTGATCAGATAAACGTGGAACCTTCAGGCATCTGGAAATTGCACCAAAGGATGAACCAGATTTGTGGAGGTCCACGATTCTCTTCCTGATATCTTGGCTGATTTCTTAGATTCCCCATGTTTTTGAGGTGTGACTTAAAATACATCCACCTGTGTGTCTCCAATTAACTCAAATGTTGTCAATTAACCTATGAAAAGCTTCCAAAGCCATGACATCATCATCTGGGCTTTCCCAAACAGTTTGTAGGCATAGTAATCTTAGTGTATGTAAACTTCTGACTTTGAAGAAAATAAGAAAAAAATCTTTGAAAAATTCTCTCTCTCATTATTCTGACATTTAGCAAATAGAAATAATTTTGGTAATCCTAACTGACCTAAAACAGGAAAAGTTTAGTCTGATTTAATGTCTGACAGTGCGAAAAAAGGATTTATGTATTTTTATATGGTATATGTAAACTTCTGGTTTCAACTGTATTTGCTGCTAGCTAATGAGTATTTAATTTTTTTGTTTCTTTTATTTTATTCTGGCTCATAAAGCATTTACAACCAGGGGTTAAAGTGAGCTTCCTGATACCCACATCAGGCCCTGCTGGATCACAGCTTTACACACAGTCTATGGTCTTACATCATCAAAAAAATCTGGAAATTTGCTTTCAGAGTCTCACACTAAACTTAGAATGTCACCTCCTATTTTTGGAGTTTCTTAAACAGCTGTAGCATCACAGAAGCAGCATCCCCACTGTCCACTGAACCATTTACACAACAGCAGGGACTTCTGTCTGTTTGTGATCTAACGCAGCCTTATTAACCAAATTGCTTTTTGAAACAGCTGAGATTCAGCTTCTTTGCTGAAATGACCGAAACCAAAGCAGTTGTGCTCTTTAAAGTTATTTGCAGCAAAAGTCCTGACGTAGTTTTCTCTGGAGTATCTGGATTTTTTTTTCTTGTGTATCTAGGGGATAATTACTGGGAGCTTTATAGATAGTCTTCAGTTTTGGTGCATTAAAATTTTCAGAAGGGGTATTACTGCAAGCATGGACTTATCTAACCACTAAAGTAAAATTAGGCAATGCACAGTCGACTTAATTAAAAAAACAACAACATTTTTTTTTTTTAAATCGTAGAGTATTTGGGACTAGATCTGCATACTAGGGTTGTTGTAATATTGTCCTTTTGAATTCATGGAGTTTTACAGAGATCAACTTTGTTTAT